TATTTGAGTAATTGAAATAGCAAAACGAATTCATAAGCATTGATTTATGTTCAAATAAGCATCATTAGTTTGCACGCTCATTCGCACTCGCAATATATTTCAAAAAGCAATCCTCTAAAGGAAACTTCGTATTCAATGAAATGTTTATCACTTGAATTTGAGTCGCTTATCGATTAGTCGCTCACAAGAAGAATCACCCGCTTATCAGAATATTGAATCATTCGAAACTAATGATCGCAGAACAAAAATCTTGCGCTACTGATATAAACATCAATCTTGACTCAAAAAAAATCCACCTATGAAAAGCGTTTATTTCATTAATTATTGGTCACAACTTCAAATTTCACAGTTTCAATCGGTGCTTAAAGGCTACAATCATTTCTTTGAACAATCACATTCACTTCGCCATTAACTGCTGCTCAACTTTACGGTTACTGTAAACAAAAGTGCCCCTTGTCATCGATTATAAATTTCTCAAGTGCACATTTTATCGTTCTTTTTTTTAAATTGATCCAATTTCAACTGCGAAGCACAACGATAATACACCTCATCATCTCGTGTCTTATAATGAACTTGACTGGCAATGCTATCAATTAGAGCTAGAATATATTGCTGTACGTTTGCGAAGCTTTTGCTTGCCATATGCTTATGTGATTTACAATTAAGCCATACTTTACATCTACAAATGCTAATCTAATCACAAATGCCTTTCAGAATTATTTTATTATGTATAACTGTAATCCCTCTTGCAGTTAGTTCTCTAAGCTTACAATTCCGCGACGAAACAACAACAATAAAAACGAATCGCGTAGCTACGCATTAAATTCTTATTAATTCACCACCTCAATTACACATAAAAACATTCCACAACCAGCTTTCAATTCAACAAAAACCTTAATTCACCTCAACAACTTCAATTCAACAAAAATAAACAACAAAATATTTCATCTCATCATGCATTCTCGTAGAAAAAAAACTCAAAATTTCATTCCATTCAAACATGAACTCAAACGAAATTGATAGTGCTTAAAAATATATTATGTGCGTTAAACAATACTCCGTTGACATGTGATAATATAAGTTGGTGTGATAACAGGATGACGACGACGACAGTATCACATAAACACAAACAAATCCATGCCACAACAGATCAACAATTTACAGTAAAACGCTATCAACAACAACAATTCACAATTCAACCAACCAAATCATAAAAATGATCCAAGATGAGGCGAAATTCCCTGAGAAAGCGATGCTTTCTATGCATATTTATATGCACATAAACATTTCATTTACATATACAGTACATGGTATTCACTTACAAATATTTCTTTCATACACAAAATCAATTCAGAATTTAATTTAATTAGTATTAATCAAATCAAGTCAACAACAAATTCAATGTGCACGAACAACAACACTGCTTGTGTGACAATCGTCGTAACTCAACACAAAAAAAACACGACTCATTTAGCTAAACACTGGCTCGCATGCTGCTAGGCACACTCCTCTTCAACTGCAATTTACGGACAACCGAACGAATCGACTGAGGTTGCTTCACCGCACCGATTCCACACCTATCATTCAATTAATTATACTCCAAATATGAGAATTGATTCAAGAGGTTTGATCTCAAGAAATCCTAATAGCATAAATCCATTTCTTTCTCGAGTCTAACGCAACTGCAAATTCCAGAAAACTACTGGGGATATTTTGGAGGGGGATGATGAGAAGATGATAGAAGAGATGGGTGTTATGAAGAAAGGATTTTGTAATTTTTTAATTTTTTTGTGGGATTGTTTTGATTTTTATTTTTTTGAGGCAAAATAATGTATTTATATATGAAGGATAGCAACCCGTAAAATTGAAGTTGAGATTCAACAGGCCAGTATGATCAGTATGGTATATAAAGTATACAGAACGATGTGTTGGTGTACGTCAGATCTTCGAAAACAGATTAGATTTAACGTACAACGACAACAACGATTTAAAAGACAGATGCACAAGTAATGATGATATGGACACGTAATCGAGAATCGCTTAAGAAACACTCAATACTCAACAAAAAGAAAAAACGATTCCAATACAACACATTTGATCGAAAAAGGAGAAAAAAACGTTAAAAACTGATGATGGAATAGAAGAAGTGTAAATGTTTCATTGTTTTGCTTTTTCATGCATTTGATAGACGACTACTTCTGCGAATATTATTATATAATCGTATAAGACTCCAATTAATCACATCATTTACCATATTAACAATAATGTGAATATAAACAATAATGATAAGAACGATAGCATTTAGAATAAAACAGAACAACAAATTTTTGTAGCTCTATCACGCCACATTCCCATTACAATGAAAGTGTTCTCATTCACGGGGCATACAACAACAACAACAAAATGAAGCATTCAAATGCACCCGTTAGGCATTCACTATGACCGTAACAAACGACAATTGTGAGGTAGTGGTTGCATAAGCCATAATGAATGCTGCTATAAATACACGTAATTCACTCTAGCATCTGATTCAACTGCTCATATCGCATTTACAAATACGATTCGATTCAGTTATTGCGCTGAATTTGTGTGCAAAACAAATGCCGTTCGCTAAACAATGCGAAACTTCTGTGTTCTTGCAACAAACTTCAACCCAATCGAGAGGATCAAGAGGAACAACCATGCGATTACCGAATGAGAAGACTAATAAAATCTGTGAAAACTTTTCATATACAATGGGAACATATTGCTTAATTATTTCCAGGGGAAAAAANAAAAAACAAAACAATAAAAGACAAAACAAATGAATCAAATCAAGACATTACAAAATCGGTAAAGAGGAGCACGCCCGCTGGCACTGCCAGAGCTCTGTTACCAGTTCAGCTGTATTGTTTGCTGATTAGATCAGTTCATGTGATCTGAACACAGTGATGCATAATCATCAGCACACATACTTCACTTGGAGCACAAATTTGAATCCTCGCTTATACACTGCTAATTGATCGACTCATAGCATTGTATGGCTTTACATCATGCTGTTAATTACATCTCCATACGTAATCGAATTTCACCAACATTTATTTCAGTTATCTAACTAAAAACTACGTTCTCTCCGTTGTTCATAGTAAACTAAATGCATCACTCAAAATTATGCCAGATGAAATTCAATTTTTGTATTCTATGAATCTATCGCCCGTAGCCCTCACCTAATTGCTTCGTGCATCGAAATTGTGTCCTCGTGAAGAGTTCATTGTTGCCAATGCTGTTGATTACCACCATTCAACTACTGTATTCCACCATCATACAGTACGTTTTCTTCTTCTTCTTCAAGATACACTCGACCGACTGATTCTGATTGGCTGATTGATACACTGCTCGTTCAAGATACCTCATACCGTGATCAGTCAAATCGATCGCGTGTTCATATCGGACCGTTTTACGGTAATTGGACTGGATTCTGGCACAAGCACCGCACTCACATCCGAATCGAACGAGTCGCCACTTCGACTTCGCTTCGCCGACAGCACATCTGCGTACTCAATTTTATGCTCTGTCAACAGCTTCTTGAGATTTTCATTCTCCGAATTGAGCAACGATACTTGATCCATTAGTTTCCCGTTGTTCCTCTCCAAATACATCATCTCTCGAATGATCTGCAATCAATTACTCCATAAACCACTTAAAATGGCAAATGCAAAACAAATGAAATGAAAACAAAATGATCACAAATAGATACCTCTTCTCGACTCATTCCATTGATACGCATTAAATTCACATTGTCGTACTCTGCCTCGAACTCACGTTCCATCAACTCATCCTCTTCACCCGAAACACTCCCACTCTCCGACGTATTACCGCCAGCATCTGAACCCGACAGTAAACGCTCCCTGCAATATTCACTTCTGATTCATCTGATGTCAGTTCATCGCTTAATGCTTGCCACCTACGTAAATACACTTCTACAAATCAGCATCTCTTCTTTTTTTTCACAATGAACCATTCATAATTCGCTTTTCACATGGTTGATTGTCTCATTTACATGAAAATTAAAATAAGTTTGTATTCCAAATGAGCACAACTAATTCAAATTAAAACAATTTCGTTTCCACATCATCAATCTACGTAATTAAGCAATCATATCGATCACACACCAAACGAGTGATCAGAGATCAACTCTAGCGATATGTTTACACAATGCACTCACAATCCCTGTGCATGCTCTGTTTCATCATTCTCTTGCATCACTCTCTCACAATCTATTGCCCAATGTCAATCCAAAATAAAAACGTTGCCAGTGTCTTCCAAAAGAACCTCCCTCCTCTGACATACTCTCAAGACGTCATCACACATTCACAAGTATCACTCACTCACGCTAGTAAACAACTGCAAACAAGCCAAAAAAACAAAACAAATGCACATTCAGCAATCATTTTGTTTCAAAACAGTTGAAGAACTAATGACCGAAACTTCAAAGTTGTGTCTTAAAATAACTTCCTTAAATCATGCCAAACATTTCAAAACAAAAAAAGCATTTTGTCCCTTTCAATCACAGTCAATAGTGCACACTAAAAATGCCTCATCATCACAAACCTTTCACGTTGTGGTGAAATGCTCGCTTTCGGCATTGCAGCCGTCCCACTCACTGAATCTCCATCTGAGTCCACAGTAACTCGCTTCTCGCGATCTTCCAACAAAAACTGTGTCGTATTATATGGAGCCATTGGTTTACCGTTCGAGAATAATCTGAAGTGCAAAAAATGTTGTCATTTAATTTTCATTATTACACATATTTAAAAAAAACGTTTTTATGAAAAGTTT